AAAAAAAACCTTTTCATAATAAAAGACATTCTTAAGGAATCAGAGTGAAATGCCACGCTACATGTTTGATAGTAGGGGGATTTAAAAAAAAAGAAAGAAGAATTCTTAAGGAAGACCAAAGTGTGTCTGGCTACATCTAGACTGAATGCCTTTTTTGACAGAGGCTTTGTTGCAGTATCTGTCGACAAAGCCTCTGTCGAAAAAGAGCGTCTAGACTACGATCAGTATTGTTGAAAAAGCAAGCCGCTTTTTCGAAATAGAGTCTAGACGCTCTCTTTTGAAAAAGCACAGTTTGCATGCAATAGTGCCTTTTTTTTGACAGATCTCTGTCAACAAAGATATTCTTCCTTGTAAAAGGAGGTTTACAAAACTCCCGCGTTCTGTTGACTTACTGTTGACAGAATGCGGCGGTAGTGTAGATGCAGGTATAGTTATGTCATCAAAAGGCCACTTTTGTTGGAAAAACCCGGTAGTCTAGACACCCCCTTTGTGCCTTAAGGGCTGTTTGGGAAAGTGAATTCATAATACTCATTTTTATGCAAAAGCTGTATCACACATGGGCTGTGTCCAGACTCAGGGTTTTTTTTGGGAAAAGTAGCCTTTTTCCGAAAAAACTTCACCTGCGTCTAGACTGCAGCCGCGTTCTTTCGAAATTAAATCGAAAGAACGCGGCTTTTCTTTCGACGGCGGTAAACCTCATTGCACGAGGAAGAACGCCTTCTTTTGAAAGTGCTTCTTTCGAAAGAAGGCGTTCTTGAATGTAAATAGGGCTTCTTCGAAAGAGAGCATCCAGACTCACTGGGTGCTTTCTTTCGAAAAAGCGGCTTGCTCTTTCGAAAGTTCCGCATGCAGTCTAGACGCTCTCTTTCGAAAGAGGCTTGCAGTCTAGACATAGCCATGGTGGCCACCTCTTCTTATGTCCTCCTTAAGACTGGGCTGCAGGCCAGTCTTGAAGGTCTCAAGAGGAGACTTCAGTCCATCATTTTAAATGTCCAGAACTGATATGCAAAAGCTAAATGCTGGGCAATTAAAAAGTGTAGCTACTATTTATCTAGGTAAGTCCACAGAACATGCCAACATGCTCACCAAACCACAGTATACCCCATTCCCTACGCTCGCTTCTTCAACATTGTAACATCACACATATTACGTAGGCTTTGATTATTAGAGGGAGGAGGTGGTACGTTTTAAAACAGAAATACAAATCTTAATACAAAGGAAACAGCTGAGGTGGGGAATTAAAGCAAGTTAAAATGAGGCTGAATCTCAGAAAGGGTTCATCAACACTCAAGCTGGAGGTTTAATTTCCACCTTGGTATCCACTGCCGAGGATTTCTTTTTTTAAAACACCACAATAGCTGAGTGTCCAGTTTTATTCCACGGTGCTTGGCATTTGGCAAAAATGGACCTGGCCAGCTTTTTTAGGTGTCATTTGATTCAGCCTATACAACATTTACGGATGAAACTAAGTTCAAGAAGTGGCAGGCACAACGGTGGTGCTTTGGTGAGTGGTTCTCAAGACCGTTATCTGTGTCCAGGAAGTCTGCAACTTCATAAAATTCAACTTGGTTTTCTACTTCATCCTCATCATCAGTTTCTTCCTCTGGTTCTAGTCTCCTTTCTTCAGTATTCTGGTGGTTTTTGCTGCCAAATATTTTGAAAGCTTTGAGGAAATTTGACCCATTGTCTGTCGCTGTTCTAATTATCTTCTCTCTTATTTGATATTCAGAATTAAAGTCATTTAGGGCACTGGCCTTAATGTTAAAGGTGTGCCAGCTTTTAGATGCCTACATGCTAGTGCAGCAGAACGTCTCTCCAGCCTCTTGGGATCAGTCCAGTGAGCTGTTACACCAATGAAGCTGTGTCGCCTGCCCATCCAGCAGTCTGCAGTGGTGACAATGTATTGCACTTCACTCAAGGCATCAATCAAATTTCTCTTCATGCTTTTGGCAGCATCAAAGATCTTTGTACAAAGAGCAGGTCTTGATATGATGGTAGATATGAGCTGTAGGTATGATACGATGGCTTGATATGAGCTGTAGGTCGTGAATAAGATCTTTAAATGCTGGTAGCTCGGCAACACTAAATGGCTGGCGACCTTCAGTGATGTACTTCATCGCTGCCTTGTCCACTGTGGCCTGTGATACACACATAATGGGACTTGCCATGGTGTCAATCTTACACTGCTTCCTTGTGGAACTAGAAGTGTGCTCTGACTCTGTCTTTCTCTAATGCACCGTAGAAACAAACCCCGTGTATTTTTGGGTCGGGGGCCACTGATCGTCAGAAACATCAGTCGAGCACAGAAAAATCAGTCGAGGGCCACACAAGCCCCCCCAAAAGCCCAACCCTCACTGATGTGGCCCCAACTGAGATACCTCACTCCCCCGGCACTCCGGCCCCATGCTGGGGGAGGAATGGGAGAAGAGGCAGGAAGGACCAAGCTTCAGGGCTTCCCACAGGCCAGATAAACTCTTCCAGAGTCCCAGGTTTAGTAGATTTTGAGAGCCCCACCCAGGCTCTGGGATGAGGCCAAAATAAGAGGTTCAGTATGCGAGAGAGGGCTGCCAGGGAGTGGGCTAGGGATGAGAGTAAGGGTGGGAGTCTGGGTGGGAGGTAGGGTGCTGGAGTGGGGGTAAGGGTGGGGTGTCTGGGTGCAGGAGTGGAGCAGGGATGGGAGATCTGGGCAGAAGGTGGGTGCGGGAAATCTGCCCAATGGGAGCAGCAGGGAAACCCACGATGGGGGGGGGGGGGGGGGAGGGATGAGCAGCACCACGCTTCTTCTCCCCCACATGCTGGATCCTGCCCGCAAGGCTCAGGGCTCCCCTGCCCTGCATAGATACTGGTTTTGAATGAAAAGGTGTTGATGCGGCTATTAAAAGGCTTTTCATTGGCAGGGTCATTGTGCTTGTTGATCGGTTATTTTTTTAAAAAATTGTAACTGAATAATGATCGCTTTGCGCATGTGGCTGTGCTTTAGCAAATCAGACTGCTGGCTTGTGCAAATGTCAGTGGGGTGATGAAAGTAGTGAGAGACGAAATGCTTCTGGAAATAGTGGAGTAAAAAATACACGATTTTCTAAAAAACCTGACTCGAGTAAAAGTCGAAGTATCGCAAAAATAAATTACTTAAGTAAAGTACAAATACCAAAAAAATGTACTTGAGTAGAGTAACAAAGTATTTCTACTTAATTATTTTCCACCTCTCGTGCACGGGTTTTACCAGAACATCTACCTGAGCTGGAAATTACACAGAAGTGGGGACAATGACCCAGAGGGCACTTCTACACTGCAGGGCCAAAGTCGAATTAATCTATGCAACTTGAGCTAATCAATTGTGTAGCTTAAGTCAAAACAGCTTAATGCAGCTTGTGGCACTGTCTGCACAGCAGGAAGTCGAAGGAAGAGCATCCTTCCTCCGACTTCCCTTACTCCTCCTGAAATGAGGGTTACCAGGAGTCAGAGGAAGAAGTCCTCCAGCTCAACATTATTTCAAAATAAGGGCTTGTAGCGTTGATGTTCTCTCTGTTATTTCGGAATAACGTTAGTTGTTCCGAAATGGCGCTGCTGTGTAGACGTACCCAGACTGTCCTAAAGCAGGATATGTAGGAAAGCTGTGAACCCCAGTGAGGGACTGGGGGACAGGGATAGGAGAGAGACTGAACTGGCAGCAGCCCTACAGCTCTGCTGCCAAGAACCATGCTGTCAGCACAAGGCAGATGACCAGGCCAGGTAGTCATACTGCATGAGGCGGAGCATCCATTGCTGTTGCTCGTCCTTTGAAAGGGAGCAGCCTTGTCTCTAGCTACTACCTGCTGCATCTGGCAGCATCCATATCTCCTGGCTGTTTTTGAGGCTATGCCCCTCTGTGGGTGTGACTTGCCTCTTCATCTGGATATTCACTGGTTTCTATGGAAGGCTCTTCTGCAGGGGAATCGCCAAGAAAGAAGCAAATATCAAGTGGAAAATATCAGAAACAAAAGTGGGATGAAAAAAAAATTTCAGAATCTCAAACCTTGCCAAGATCTGCAGTTGTCCTCCCCCAGCTAGCGCTAGTACGAGATTTGGGACCTGATCCAAAATCCATTGAGATCATCAAAGGGACTCCCATGGATGTCAAGGGTCTCTGATCAGGGGTATGTAAAGCATATTCTCACTTGGATAATTATAATCTTGCCCCCTAAATTTCCCCAGAAATTCCACCTGGAAAAATACTCTGGGGTCATCATTTGTGATACACTGCTAAACAGCTGGGCTACCTCTACACTGCAGGCTTCTTGTGCATGAACCATTTTGCACAAGAGTTCTTGTGCAAAAGGTCTTCCACAAGAGCGTGTCCACATTGCCATGTGCTTTTGTGGAAGAGATGTGCTTTTGCACAAGAGTGTCCATGGCAGTGTGGACACTCTCTTGCACAAGAAAGCTCTGATGGCCATTTTAGCCATAGGGCTTTCTTGCGCAAGAAACCCCTGTTGCCTGTCTACACTGCCTCCTTGTGGAGGAGCTCTTGCGCAAGAGGGCTTATTCCTCATGGGGAGAGGAATAACTCTTGCGCAAGAAGCCCTGTTTTCCAACGATTTACTGTAAATTTCCTTGCGCAAGAACACACGTGCAGTGTAGATACTCTGCAAGTTTTTGCTCAGAAGAGCTGTTCTTGAGCAAAAATGCCTGCAGTGTAGACATAGCCCTGCTGTCTTTCACTCCAGAGGTATTTTAGCAGTTGATGAACTTTTGTACCATTTGCAATCATGTGATCCTGTGAGAAGAAAAGAATCATAGTGGAACTACTCAGAAAATTATTTTTCCCCACAAGTTTCATGGAAAACTGAAACCGCGTGACTTTCTTTAAAAATGTGAGCATTCTCCCAAGGTGTCCCATCTCTTCTTTATGGACTAGGCTGACTACCAAGACATCTCCCACAAGTTTCAGAGGGGTAGCTGTGTTAATCTGTAACTGAAAAAAAACCAGTGAATAGTCCTGCAGCACCTTAGATACTAACCAAAAATGTAGATGGTACCATGAGCTTCCGTGGCACAGCCCAAAGCTAACCAAAATTGTAGATGGTACCATGAGCTTCCGTGTGCACAGCCCAAACATCACAGTCTTTGACAGAAAATCTTCAGCTAGTCCTAGGTAGAGAAACATTACTTCAACTTCTAATGCTCCAAAAGATTTTAAACCTGTCCTATTTTATATCATTTATTTCTCTGCCTCTAAATGGATTCTTGAAACATACAGTAGCCCTCATTCTGATCTTGCTAATATGATTATAACTCTATACTGACCTCAGGGGAATTACTGCGGATTTAAACCACTGTTACTGAGGCTTGTATCTCAAAATTCCTTTTCACACACTTCAAAGTATACGTGAAGAATAAAAAATAAACCCTTTTTTAAACAGGAAAAATAATATAACTAACCATAACTTTATTAAAGGATAGGTTATGTTTTTTATCTTTGTTGCTGATCAATCTGTAATGAATCAAAAATAGAAAACATCTCATAATAGGAAAAAATTGCATTCCTCTAAAATGGAACTTGGAAAAGATTCTGTATCCTCCACCAGCTATTGCTGTCTGGCAGTCATCTGCAACAGTAATTTAGATGAACCTGACACTGGTGACAGCCCTGAAATGAAACCTCCGAATGATACTTGAGAGAGCTACCTACTGCCCACTAGCTGTAAATCAAGCTTTTAGTACAGATCTTAATTCATCATACTCTATCAAACTGCTCTGATGGTTCTGTAACTGATCCCCACAACAGGGATTTGTCCAGTTCAATATCACAGTTAGACGGGAACATTCTATAATCTAAGATTTATTCCTGACAGTGACAAATTTTATGGGGAGACGGTCACATTGCACCATTTGGATTATCTGGCGGCTCACTCCTTTCCCTGGATCCGCAGTCACACACTCCCACGTGGTTAATAAAGGTATTTTATCTAGTAGTATGCTGAAGTAGGTGTGGGACAGATAAATGTCATTGACTCCAATGGGATCTGGCTAAAGTTCCAAAAAGCAGATTGTGTAACTGTGTTTATTTCAATTGCTCTTCAGTGCCTTTAAAAGATAATCACTGCAAAATTCATCAAAATACCACATAGAAGGCTGGATCTACAGCACACTGAGAACAATGTAATCTCTCAAAGGAGGTCACAAGCTTCTCTGCAAAGATTAACCCTGAAGCCTTATACAAATGAAGAACCACCTTCACCAATATCATAACAGAAATACATTGAATGGCTTCAGCACAGAGCTAGACAGCAAGACTGAGAATTTGGAAGGGACAAGGAGGTTTTTCTTATTTTACTGATCAACAAAAATGTGCATTGGAAAAGTCAAAATTAATAAATAAGCGAGAGTAGTTTGAAAAAAATCCTATGTGCATTGGAAAAGTCAAAATTAATAAATAAGCAAGAGTAGTTTTGTGCTAAACTGAAAAAATTCCCTCTGAAATTTTACATCACAGCCTTTAATCAAATACACAAACATACAACTAGAAAAATCAGTTTTCAAAACCCATGTTGGTTAAAAGAAAAGAGTTTGTACTATAGAAACATCCACCAATTTTTTTTAAAATGGTTCTTCAGTTTTTTCTTTTCATTGTAAAAAAGGAAGATTTTAATCAGAATGAAAATTTCCCTTAAATAAAATTTATTTTAGGCAAAAAGCAATTTTTAATGGAAAAAATGATGAAAACATTTGGTGCAGCAACTGTTCAGTGAAGACATTGCCTACATTGACTGGAAGGATTCTCTTGTCAGCCAATAGGTCATCCACCTCCCCGAAAGGCAGTACAGTGAAACCTTTGGGTATGGCTACACTAGCCACCCTAGTTCGAACTAGGGTGGCTAATGTAGTCATTCGAACTTGCAAATGAAGCCCAGGATTTAAATATCCCGGGCTTCATTTGCGTGTTCCCAGGCGCCGCCATTTTTAAATACCGTTTTAAATGAACTAGGGTGGCTAGTGTAGACATACCCTAGGTTACCTGTCACTCTGTTAAGCAGAAAACTTTGTTAACTAGCATTGCCCCCAGCCACAATACTGTCTTATCTTCAGGTACACAGGCCTGGCTTGGTTTACCATGATTGGCTTAACAATTATTTATTTAAGAAGTACTAATCATCTTTAACTCCAAATAGAAATGTGAGACCATCTGCCTCACACTACAAAACTACCAATATTAAAAACTTGAGTTTTACTTTTATTGCCCATTGGTTTTTCCTAGGTTAATGGGACCCTAAGATAACTGGAATTTGTAGATAACCGGAAGGCCCTAATCCCCGAGAATGCCGGATAACACAGGTTTTACAGTAGCTAGAATTCTTCCATCCACCTAAATCTGTCTAACCAGGGGTGAGGCCAGTTTATCTACATCACTCAAGAATGTTGACTCTTCACACCCCTGAACAAAATAATTACACCAACCATATTTCTTAGGGTAGAGCAGGCCTACCATAATCAACGGGAGAGCTTCTCACATAGAATCATAGAATCATAGGACTGGAAGGGACCTCAAGAGGTCATCGAGTCCAGCCCCCCGCCCTCAAGGCAGGACCAAGCTCCGTCTACACCATCCCTGACAGATGTCTATCTAACCTGTTCTTAAATATCTCCAGAGAGGGAGATTCCACCACCTCCCTTGGCAATTTATTCCAATATTTGACCACCCTGACAGTTAGGAATTTTTTCCTAATGTCCAATCTAAACCTCCCCATTAATATAGATAACTCATCTTTCTGAGAGGCAGTAGCTAGGTGACAGAAGGATCCTTTAATCATCTTATTGGGGATTAGGTGGGTATATTTCCATTTCATAGGGGTATGGATTTTTCAACCCCTGAGATATGTAGCTATACTAAATTTCTAGTGTAAACCAGCCCTGACTGTAGAGATGCTAAAAGATTTGCCCAAGGTCACACAACATATTTGTCTTGGACACAGCCAATTTTTATTCATTGTCTCTTTCAAATATACAGACATCTCTTGAAGCTTTCATGATGCAATAGACAGATACATACATCTCCACTTCAAACCAGTGTTCAAGATGCTAGCTGCAAAGAATCACTAATTAAAAATATATTTTTTGAAAGACTTAGTATTTAGTGACATGCTATCAAAATAATAATAGCTGTTCTTATTTTCCAAGTTCCCCCTGACTATGCACCATCTTCTGTATAGTATATTCATCTAAAACAATATTAGAAAAATAAATAACCCCAAATTGGCCAAAGACATCTAGGAATTGGGTATGATTTTCTGACCAGATTTATAGAGATTAAATGTCTGGTCTACAGCCACAGAAGGAATTAGAAACAAAAGCAGCATTAGAATTCGGTAACGTTTTGCCTAGAGACTAATTCAGACTAACAACATAAAAAAGGAACTTTTATCAAATGTTCATAAAAGTAATCAAAAATGGCATTACATTTTGGGGAATATTTTGTAAAAAAATCTGTGTCAGTATTTTTATGAAAAAGTTCATTTAAAAAAAATCAAAATTTTGAAAATGTTAACCAACGCCATTGTAGTAGATCAGGATAGCAATGCAGTAAATTCAGGATTCACTGGTGTGATATCTTGAAATGCAATGCAGTAAATTCAGGATTCACTGGTGTGGTATCTTGAAAGGTCTCCTGCTACATCAGTGATGATAAACATTTGGCTGCGTGCATTTTAGTATGCTCCCTCAATATGTCATGCCAGCTCTGTGCAGGTAGCTTGCAATAATAGACCTCACAAGAGCCCCCACAGGCCACAGACTCAGATAAGATACAAAGACACCTAAGTCAGGTTAATTTTTGAACAAAGCACATTAATAGTCATCGGTAGCCAGATGGCTTCCAAACCCCTGTGCATTTGTACTAGTGACAATAGGCATGGCTCAATCAATAGTACGGATTTCACTATCGCACCCAGATTGGCCAAAGAGTTAAAGCAACCAGACAGTCAACCCAGGATAAGGGATCCACCAAAGGTAGGGAGGTGTGGGGGGCTCTGTAGAGGAGCAGGGGATAGGGCATTCAGGAGCACAGGTTGGTAGGCCCAAGCCCCACCGACCCAACATTTATAGACAGAGATAAACAGTGGATGATTCACACTTTACGTATCTTCTTATGTATTTGTGGCGAGGAAACTGCTCCCCGCACTTACCCCCGCTGTCTGCAAGCAGTGAGCAGGGCACCGGCGGCGCAGGTGCGGCAGGGGATGGGCCGCAGGAGGCGGACTCTAGGGCCCAGGGAGGGGCGGCCAACCCGCTGACAGGGCGGGGGTGGGACGCTGGGCCATATGCTCAAAAGGGAGCGGATGGAGGGGAGCAGGGACTGGCTGTGCTCTCACACCCCACAGGTGGAGAGCCTGAAAAGCAGAGAGTGCTCAGGATGGCAGATGCCAGAGAGGAGAGGGCCGGCAGCCAGGGAACACCCCCGGGAGGTCTCAGAAGTGACACGGGCCCCGGAGGATGGGCCGGTCGAGCCCGAGCCAGGGCACTGATGACCTGGGGACCAGAGTGGGGAACGGCCGAGCCAACGGGCTGGTCAGGACAGTAAAG